GTGGAGAGCAGCCTCTGGAGCCAGACGTCCTGGCTCTATGTCATGGAACTGCCACTGACTAGCTGTGTCCTGGGGAGTTCTGTTGAACCTCTCTGAGTCTCATTTCCTGCAGCTGGACTGAAACGATCTGCCCACCCGCAGAGAGGTGCCCACACGTGCCAGTTACTCAGGACAGATCTGCTTTATATTGTGTCCCTGGGTCCTATTCACTTAATGTTGTTTTTCATTCTCCAAAATGCCGTGCTCTTTACCATAAATACTCTGGTCCTGGGACTCATAGGACGGCTGCTGTGAAGACTGAAGGCAGCACACTGCCCGTTACGCAGTGACTGGTGTGTAAGTGTTTGTCACTCGTGCCTCACTGAGCATTTCCGTGGAAACAGCTAAGACACTGGACCTTATGTCATCGCCACAAAAGATAAAGAAGTGTGTGAGCTGGTGGACGTATTCAGTTTGAATTAACAATGTCACAAGCCATCATGTGTCATGAAGATATGCTGTACATCGTAAATATACACAATTTTTATTTGAAATTACGCTTCACTAACGATGGGGAATTTTCTTATTACTTCAAACATGTACAAGAAATTGGAGCCAGGCTCTGGGGAGATGAGTACAGCTGCCACGTGTAGAAGGAACCAGAGGAAAAGTGACTCGTAAATTGTATCCAGAACACTCTGAAGAAAGAGGAACTCAGAGAAAATCAGTTAAGCTTGGATCAAAGCACGCTGCTTCCTATTCCCACTTAAAACTTTTAGCTTCTAATTATGGTCATCCCTGCAAGTTTCCCAGAATGTGACTAGAAGCAGAGTTTCTGGGGTCCGGGATGGTCCCAATTGTCCTCGGAGGTTTGTCATGTGTACGAGTGTTCAGTGTGTACAAATGATGGCCGGACGCTGACGTGCAGATGGCAGGTCCTCTGTCCCCGGCACACTTCTCAGTACTTTGCACATTTTTTTTTTGTCTTTTTTCATGTCTGGCCACGGATCGCAACCCTCAGTGTCGCGCCCGTACCGGACCGGGACCGGCAACGGGATCGCAACCCTCGGCGCTGCGCCCACACCTCTCTCAGCCAGTGAGCGGGAACCGGTCTGTATGTGGGATCCGAACCCTCGGCGAGAGCGTCACCGCGCTCCAAAGTGGCGCACTGCTACAGTGCGCCACCGGGCCGGCCCAGGACTTTGCACATTTAAGTCATTTTTCCTCACAACAATTCCACGACTGCTACTATGTTATGAAAAAGTTACAGAGTATGAATTATCCCGTGGGACACTGCACAATCAGCCAGTGGTGACTCTGGGGTGTGCCACAGGGGGTCTGGCTCAGAGCCAGGGAGAGGGCTGTGGCACGTGCAGAGGTGTCACCCAGCAGGCACTGCACAGCCACTGTCAGCAGAGAGCAGCCTCCAGGCCCACCTTCTGGGTCCTTCCCGGTGCCCTGCGGAAGCCCAGCTGGGAAGGCAGCATCCCCAGAGCGAGGGTTCATCCCCTCCGGGTCCTTCTCTTTCCTGACTCCTCTGGGCACACCCTCATGTCTCTCAAATGAAGGATTTGGGATTTAAAAGGTCCACTCTCTCCCCAGGCAAAAATATCATGGTGAAAATTAGTAACATCTTTCTAAAGAGTTTTCTGCTAAACAGAACACGAGGTCATATTCAAGGATGAAGAATAAAAATAGCATCAACCAAAAAGACGTCAATGCAAAGCAACAATGCTGAAAATTTATAGAATTTTAACCCTATAATTCTATCAGTGTAAATTTCTATAATCAGCCAACTGTCACTCAAGTGTGATGATAGAGAAATATTCAGACATGCAAATTTCCCCCTAGTTTATGTCCACCAGGCTTTTCTCCAAAAGACAGTGGAAGATTTTCTCTATAAAGGAGGGAGTAGAAGGACAAAGAGAAAAGCATGGGGTCCAGGGCAGAGGATTTGACGCAGGAGTAGAGACGTCTGAACGTGATGCCGACCAGAGACCTGTGCTCAAAATGATTCAGACCCATGAAGATAAACACCAGGGGAAACTCTGACACAAGTCGGAGGTGACATGGGCACTGTTGTGAGGATGGGAAGAGGCAGGAACGAGTGTTTGTTATTACAACCCGCTCTACACCATTTTCTATGTCAAACACTGCACCTGTATCACATTAGAAATTAAACCTTGAAGAAAGAGATGCTGGAAGACGAGTGCAAAGGAAGGAGATGTGGAAGAAATTATGGGAAATGTGGGAGGGGTCAGAACCATGACTAGTGCTGTCACTAGAGAGGTGACAATTTACTGGAAAGCAGTTAAGATGCTGTAGATTATCTAAGGTCAGCTCAAAACCCACCACGCACCTAACAAGAGTTTGATATATTTTATTGAATGAAATAGCAGATTTCTGTATATAATGAATTACATGTTGAATGACAAGGGACAAGACAGAGGACTGAGGAATGATAAGAGATATGTATTAAAGATACATGTACATTTGTCTTACATATTACATATTATTGACCTATGGAAGCTAAAGTCCTTCTGAGCCATGAATCTCCAGGAAGGGAGGCTCTGTGCAGGGGGTGATGGCTGTGTGAGGTCATAAGGACCTAGAGGATGAGGATGACTGAAAGTTGGAAGTAAGGCCCTGTTGGTGGGCAAAGCTGCCTGGTCCTGGGCGTGTAGGTGACACTGAGTCCAGCCCACATGTGGGCAATGATGCCCACACACCTGCAGGGATCTTGCTGTACCTGGGGCTGCATTCACTGTGCACTAGAGACAAGGCCATCTAGCACTGCTGATGTATCAATACGAGACCAAGTGCTTTTCAATATTTACATACACATGGCCTCTCCACTACAGCACCCTTGATTTTGATGTGAATATCAGGATTCAGTAGGATGTTTAAATCCTTGCCCCTGACACTTGATATCAGTAGCACACCCATCCTCCTCCACTTGGGACAACCACAAACAACTCAAGACATTGACAAATGTTCTCCAAGTTTTCAGGGAAGTTCAAAATTGCCCCTGCTGAGAACCACTGCTCTAGCAGTGGGGATACTTTACATAAGCTTCCCACGTACCTCTTGTAATGCCCCCGTGGACCAGAGGATCATAACCATGGGCTGACTACAAGGACGAGGAAAATGTTGGCATTGAAGTGAAAGGAAAATTACTAACTGACTGGCATAGATATTGGTGTAGAAATATAATGATCCAAGTCAAATGTCATATGTACCCAGGCATTGACATTTTTAACCACGCACATCTCAGGGAAATGGCAGGTTGTGTACTTTCAGGGTTTGCTGAAGGAGCCAAGGAGAATTAGCCAGGGGCTGACACCTGATTCTGGTTCTACTTCCAATACCGGCTCCTGGTCCCAGTTCATTACACAGATCCTGGTTAGATCCTACCACGATGCCAGTCACTCCTGGAAAAAGAGACATTGAGGTGGCTCAGGCAGCGGATGACAGGGACTCTAAATACCTCCTCTCCTCACCTACTTCCTTCCTCTCTCTGTCAAGGTCCTCATTTGCACAGGAAAACACAAATGGTGGTTCTATTGCCCAGGACCTCAGGCTGATGGCTGATTTCAGTGTTAAGCACCAGGTGTGTTTTTACTGGAACTAATTTTAAGTGAGTTCATGTTATTAATAGACCTAGTTATGAAACATGTAATACAATTAAAAACCTCTTTGTAAGAGAAGTACAATGTGTTCTTGAACATCAGTTACATAAATATTAACTAAACACCTAATATCAGGCTATAGTAGAAAGAACAGGTGCACATGCTGTGGGTTCAAGACCTTGAACAGAGCAGGGGCCAGTAATCAGGGTGCTGGAGATGTCAGGAGAGGGATGTTCATGGACAGCCCTGGGGTCCTGTGACTGGGGAGATTCCGGAGCTGCAGGGGCCAGGGAAGGGCACAGACATGGCTGTGGTTGATGTGGCTTAGGGAATGAGGCATGTTTCAACCCAGAGTGACAGGCACAGTGGAGGAGGGGGGACAACGGGGAGCAAAGGCCTCAAGCTGATGAGTGTGGCCCCTGCAGAATCAACCCTGAGTTCACACAGCACAGCAGTAGGAGTCAAGGACACAGCAGTGATGGCCACTTCCCCAGGTCACCCATGGATGTGTGTCCTTGTCTGCTGCCTCCCAGTTTAGAAAGGGAGCTGCACAAGGGCAAGGGCCTGCTCTGTCTTGTTCCTCTAATTGATTCTGTCACACGTAGCTCAGGGCCCAGTGTATGGGACAAGCTCAACAGTAATTCACGGATGAATGGATGGAGGGACGGAGGGATAAACACTCCCACTCATGCGTGGTCACCTTATGTGAGGCCGTGTGATAGAATCTTTACACAGAGCGACTGTCATCCTTAGGACATCCCGACAAGGGATCACGCATACCCAAGGAAGCACAGAGACAATACTGGAACTTGCGCAAGGACACGTCATGACCAGATGGTGCATCGAGTATCCAAATCCACACGAGCATGAGCCGAATCCCGCACCGTGCACCGTGCAGCCCTGCCTGCCCTCAGCAAATTGGAAGGAAAACCCTGAAAAGACAACAAGGAAATAAATGCACGTATTAACACATTTACAATACGATGAATTTGTGAAGTTACTAAGTGAGAAAATCCTTACAGAAATGACTTTCAGTGGAGGGCGGATGTCGGTAAATATCCACACAGAACGTCAAGCACGTTTCTAAACGTGAGAGTCGGTGGGTGAGCAGAGCCTGCCCCCTGGAGGCGGCGTGCGGCACTGCAGCAGGCCCGCTGCTCGGTGGAGCCAGCTCATGCAGGGGGCGTTGTGAGCACCTGAAGCAGGTGGAGAAGACGAGGAAGAGCCAAGGGAGCAGGAACCCAAGGAAGAGGTGGGAAGCAGGAGGTTTCTACACGCCTGTCACACACTGGCTGGGCTCCTGCCAGTGCAGGCTGTTCCTTCCTGGTCCCGTGCCAGCTTGAGTCTGTGACTCATTCCCTGATTCCTGGGAGGGATTAAGGTGGCTGCCTGGGGAATAAATAGAGGAGCTCTGGGTGCTCACCTCCAAAGCGAGGTCCTTGATCCCTGCCGCAGACGCCTTCACAGCCAACAACAGCTGCCTCAGCATGAAGCTGCTGGTGGTCCTCACGCTGGCCGCCCTCCCCCTCTACTGCTCTGCAGGTGAGTTCTGTGCACGGAGGGCTGCCTGTCAGCTGGGGCTTGATTCCTGGGCCCTGGGCAAGATCTCCCAGTTCCCAGGCCCCAGCACAGGTGAGTCTCGGTGCAAAGGGTCTGGGTGTAATAGGCCAAAGCATCACCATTAATTCCAGATAGTCAAAGAGCAGGTTCCCTCATGGGCTGTGCCGCTGTATTGGAGCTGGATGGAGCGTCTCATACCCATTCAGGGTGTCCCACCATGGTGCAGCTACCATGAAAACCAGGATGAGACTCAGGATTGAGTATTTGAATGAGACACTTCAGTGGGGCAAAGATATGAAGGATGGACCCATGGCATTAGGTCCACATAGGTTTCCTGAAAGAGGCATTCCCGGGTCTCCTTAAACATGGGAGGAAATGGGAAAACCTCAGGAGAGAAGATTCAGGCCGCAGCGTGTGACCCAGTGTCTCACACCATGTGGGGCTCACTCTGCACTCCCGGAGTTGATCTCAGCCCTTGTGGAAGGCACGTTAACTCCCAGCCCCTTTGTGCTTGAGGCAGCCTGGGGAGGACTCACACCCTCTGGAGTCTCCTTCCAGCATTAAAGACCCAGAGGGAGGACAAAGCCCTGACGGCCAGAATCTGGGCAGCACTAACAGGTCACATGTGTAGCCTGCTTTGTACAACCGACAAGGCTCACTTGCATACCCTCCCTCATTTGTTCCCGAAGTAGGTGCAGACGGGTAAAAAGGTGCTCTGCTCACAGGCAACTAAGTGGAAAAATGCAGAGCCAAGAGCAAACCAGCTCTCGTGAATCCAGGTCCCGGGCTCTGTCCCCTCGTCCTCAGGGGTGGCCGCATCTGATCACTTCACGAACAGGCGGTTCTGCTTTACCTTCCTTGTCTGTGCAGACCACAGTTGGAGTTAAAAGAGAAATACCACATGTTCTCACTCGTTGGTGGGAGCTAAAAAATAAAGAAATTAATTCACCCACATACACATACAAAAAAAAACCGGGGGGGGGGAAGAAGATATAACAACTATACTTTTTTGAAGTTGTTACAACAAGCAAACGGAAAGGACATTCTTGGGGGGAGGGGAGAGAGGGAGGAGGGAAGGAGGTGTCGGTGATGGGCCATAATAATCATATACATTGTATATTGACAAAATAAAAATTTAACGAAAAAAAAAAAAAGAGTTAATGGACAGTGCTCCAGACCCAATGCTTCTGTGATACTTGAAATCCTACTTGAGGCTCTGAATGATAACAGTGAACCACGGCACGACTGTCGTCCAAGAGAGGAAATAGGGTTGAGTATGTCCCACCAAGTCAGAGCTTCTCATTTCTCCAGCCTCCTCATAAAGCCACTTTGCACGGGGTTTGTCTCCTCTGAGCTGGGGTTGGGGTGACAGATGCTGCAGGGGTTAAATCCAGAACCTGAGTTTACTGTCCTAGAACTGAGGACCCGAGACACAGACCACAGTCCTTCGTCATCAGTGTCTCTAGTGGGTGCAAGGAGATGAGGGACATCACAGGACTCCCCCAGTGGGCTCACACCTCCAGCAATGAGCCTGTTTTCTCCTGCTCTCTCCTCAGGGTCTGGCTGTCAACTTCTCGAGGATGTGATTTACAAAGTGATCAATCCCGGGGTGTCTACAGATCAACTGAAACAATCTATTCAACAGTTCATACCAGATAATGCCACTGCCAACGCCTTAGATGAATTCAAACAGTGCTACCTCCAGCAATCAAATGACACTCTGAGCAAGATACAAATGCTGACGGTAAATTAGGGTTCTTCTTATGTGCCTTAAAACTCACTGACCAGGAACAGGCAGGCTCTAAATTTCTCACCAGTAATGCCAAGGAGCTGCTGAACAGGTTTTTGCTGTTTCTTTTGGTTTGTTTTTTATATGGGTTAATTTAATTTTGTAGTAAAGTTGATTCACTTCACTTTGAGAATCTTTAGTGAATGATCAATGGAAAAGAGAAAAGAGAGAAATAGAGGTCGAGAAATGGCTTGTCCACCCCTCAGGTCCCCAGGACACGCTCACACACAGACACACAGACATGCATGAACACAAGACACACGCAGGGACAGACACACACATCTTCTGTCCAGACAAGACAGTCTGATTCTCAAGGAGCCACTCACCTGTTGGAACAACCCACAAAGAAAGCTCCCCCTTCTCACACAAACAGATAGTAAAGACGTTCTGATACAATGTTTACAGTGTCCAGAAAATAGCATTTGTGTAAATTCTGTATATTCCAATATAAAGAATTTAAGACCTAGGTCCCACCACGGTGACTGGTTGGCACACTTGATTGGAATCTCAGTGTCATTTGTTCAGGCACCACCTGAAGAGACAAGTGCAGGTCACGGGGTGAGACCAGCATGGGTGACAGAACTGCTTAAAACAGAAGCCAGCGTTTCAGCAATCACTAAGTACAAACACATGCACTGTGCTGTGTTTTTAGCATTTATTTAACATCGCAATATTCCATTTAAAGCACTTCATGAGAGACAAATTAGAAATATACCAAGGAGCGTAAGGATGACAGTGGACGTCACCTGCAGTTTAGGACGGGGGAGCACGTGCTCTTCGAAAACCCAGACTGCGTTCCTCATTGCCAGGGCGGAGGCCGGATTTGCAGGCCCCGAAGGAAACGTGGAGGGCCTCAGACTGATACAGGATTTCCGACTTTTAAGGCCATATGGGAACTCACAAGTATCACGTCCTTGTACTTGAACTGAGATGGTGACAATTCTCTGAAAAAGTGAAAAAGTGGTATCACAAACAGCTCAGATTGGCAGGTCTCCAACAAATGTTACATGCAGCGTATTTATTGAATATGTTACATCAGAGAGCAGGACGTTTGGAGAAACAAGCTTCAAAGGGGTCCCTGGCAGGGAAAAGGTCCCAAAACACTGGCCCCATTTGGCATCAATAAATGTCTCTGGAATGACAGTAAAAAGAGAGATAATTCTCACTTGCTTCCAGTGCTAATTTTCTTGGGTATTAGATGTTTGTGGACAAATGCGGGAAAATAGCACAAAGAACTGTGTGTGGATATCGATATCTGACTTTGTAAGAGAGAGTGGAAAATCGAAGTGACGTCTCTGTTCTTGTTTTCCAGGAGAGAATCTATGACAGCTTTTGGTGTAAGGCGTATTAACTTTCCACAGGACCCTGGGCTCAGACTATCTCAGAAACCAACTGCCGATGCTGTGAACCAAAACCTTTCTTTCTTATTTTGTCATTTTATCTATAAACTGCAAGACAATTGTTGAAACCTCAAATACATTTTCATTTCAATAAACTGACTGCAAAAAACTAAAGCTCCTGTCTGTTCCGCCACAGAAAGGGAGACATTGGGGGCCTCGCATCACACTGCAGCGGGTGCACAGTCACAGATGACGCAGCAAGGCAGGGGTGGGGACAGAAGAGCACACAGAGCTCTTTTTTCCTTGCCCCGTGTCCCCAAGTACTGTTCCTCTCTCTCTGGAAAAGGCTTTTCCTCCCCTCATAGCCACCACCTCCCATGGGACTGCCTCTGGGGTCCTGGCCCATGGGTGCTGTGGGGGGTCGTGCCCTGAGTCCCCACCCCCACCACAGCCCTCCTGTCACTCTGAGCCTTGCCTGCGGGGCCAGGCTCCTCTGGGCTCTGTCTCCACCCAACCTGGGATGCAGGGACTGGAGCCAGCGAGTGAGGTGACTCCCGCAAAAAAGACTGAAGTCTGTCCTGATTTAAATCTAGATTTTGTTCCTCGTGGATTTGGGCATTAATTTTGGTCTTTACAAATATTGTGCTAAAATAGTATTTACCCTGATTGCTGAGTTGTATGGCACCCCTTAAACGGGGGACACTCCCTGTCCCTGCAGTGGGAATGTGGCCCTTTCTCTCCCCCACACTGAGCTGTAGAGGCCGCGGAGGTGGACGGAGCTGCATGGTGTGTAGACACAAGCACATTGGACACTCATAGGTGCCAGCGTTCCTGTCCCCAGGGTCAGCATTGCCGCTGCCTCTGTTCCCACATTAGCTGCCCCAGAGTCCTCTCACCAGGAAGACCCTGTCTGTTTCTCAGAATGACTCAGTTCCCAGCAGGGCCGCCTCTTCCAACAGGCACAGCATGTGCAGGGACGCAGGCCTACAGTACTATAGGGGTCCATGAAAATGTCACAAATTAAAAAAAATCAGAAACAAATGTGACAATAATAATAATAATAATAATAAAGATGAATATATGTCAATGATTCAGTTGGATGATTTCACTGCTACACCGACTCAGTTGTGTATGTCAATGAATTCAGTTGGATGATTTCACTGCTACACCAACTCAGTTGTGAAATGTAAAGTTTAGTATGTTTTATGGGGAAGTTGCTCAGAAATGCAATAACACCTGAGACCTTCAAATGCAAAAGAAAGCACGTCAGGCCTCACTAAGGTATGGGGAACCCATGCTCTTCACTGGCCTCGTAAGGAGTCATTTGGATTCAATGTTCTTTGGCCTGACGTCTGGGGTCATCGTGTGTAGCGCAGGGTGGCTGTGTCTTGGCCCCCACTTCCCCATGAGTGGGAAGAGGAGAGTCCACAGAAGAGTAAGAGCAGGCCTGTGTTTCGGCAGAGAGAGAGGGGGGGTACCAGGGCTGGCCGCTGTTAGTCCCTGATCCAGGAAGACAGGTGGCAGTGCTCTGTCACCTTCAAACCCAGAAAAGGCCATTTGTTGATACCAGAATCGGCTGGGAACTGTGGACTTATGGGGACAGCCATGCTGTGTGTGTGTGGGTGGAGGGGGAGGCAGTTGAAGAGTGTGAGGAGAAGGACTCTTCTTTTTACGGAAATGAGGCCATGGGTTGGTGTTTGGAGCTGTGCATCACTAGGGAGGGGCCCCGGTTCAGGCACTGGGTGTTTGGTGGCGACTGGGGAGTGGGTGCTGTGGCCTGGCAGACTCTTCCCTGGAGAAGGTCCCAGCCCCCTACTCTGAGCTCACGTGCCTCTTGTTCCTCTTGTGCCTTCACCAGACAGAGCCACCATGGGGACGACAGTCCCAGGGCCCATCCACCTGCTGGAGCTGTGTGACCAGAAGCTCATGGAGTTTTTCTGCAATGTGGACAATAAGGACTTGGTGTGGCTCAGGGAGATCCAGGAGGAGGCCGAGCGCATGTTCACCAGGTGAGGGCAGGGGCACAATGGTGGTGTGCAGATGCCAGGTGCTGCCTGGGCGTGGCGGGGGCCCGACCCAGTGTCATGGGAAGAGGAAGGAGAGGCTGCGTCCCTTGCCTGACTCACGATGGTTGTTTGGATATGGAGCCTGGATGCGCCCCTGGGAACTTGCTTTCCTGCCATGTCTCCAGGAGGAAGCCCTGAGTGCCCAGCAGGTGACTTGCACATGGCCTTGGAGAGTTCACTTTGTGCTGGTCACCCTGGCTTGACCTGTCCCTGCCAGGAAACAGATGGGGGGCCAGACTGGGTGGGAGTGGGGCAGCAGGTCACAGGCAGCCTCAAGCGTCCTCCTCCTTGTACCAAACAGAGAATTCAGCAAAGAGCCAGAGCTGATGCCCAAAACACCTTCTCAGAAGAACCGACGGAAGAAGAGACGGGTTTCTCATGTTCAGGATGAAAACAGAGACCCCATCAGGAAAAGGTAGGAGGGGCTGGGAGGCCAGGGGAAGGTGAGCTGGGCAGGTGGGGTCTACGAGACTTGGTGCCTCTGGGAGAGCTTGATTCCATTACAGAACACAAAGGTGTTAATGGAAGCAGCAGCCTGCAGGAGTGGTGGTGGGTACCATGGGGGTCATGCTGAGGGGGGGGTGGGATGTCACAGGGAAACAAAGTGTGACCTAAGACCATGGGGTCCAGAGCATGTGTCTGTGCATGCATGGTGGTGGCAGGGTAGAGTGGGGGTGTTTGATCTGGGCCGTGGAGGATGGGAAAGATTTCCAGAGGTGGGACA